CAGTAGCAGGCCAACAGGTGGCGTGGTGGTTAAGGCGCTGGAACCCACACGGCCAACTCCACAGTTCGAGTCCCGGACCCGGCAGCTTGAAAAATACACCAGGCGCTTGAAAAATATGCCAGGCATATGTTTGTATCTGCCCAAAATCCCGAGAGGAGAATGCAGGAGGAGGGATTTCAGCATGGTCATCACCCTGGGAGGTATTTTCTTAACTTTCCTCACTCTCTGTCTCTTTCTGGCAAGTGCACATGGCCTATTGGAAAAATCTTAAAAAACAAAAACAAATGACTTTCAGTAATGCCAGAGATTACAAAATGAAAATGATTAGAAAAGGGATTTATATATTTTTTGATTGACAATAAAGTACATAGTAGTTTAACAATAAATGTACTAGACTGGCATCAGCCGATGGCATGGAGGTTAGGGTAGCCAGATCCTCTGTGGTCAGCTGTACTGTTTGATTCTGACGTCAGTGGCTTGAGGAACACTCTAGGTATGTGTACATATGTTCCCCAAATCCCAAGAGAACGGGTAAGGGATTGCAGCTTGGCCATCCCCCTGGGACATGAATTCTCACCAATCTTCTCCGCACTCCCCACCACCATCTCCTCTAGCAAGTGCATGTACCCTATAATAAAAAATACAAGGAAAAAAAAGAGTAAATATGTCAATAAAGTTCATTAATATCTATTATTTACTTATTTTTTTTTTTAAGCTTTACAATAGAGCATGAGCTTGGCCAGGAAGCAACAGAGAAGGTGAGAGGGAAAGTGAGAAATCATCTACTATGGGGTTGGCCGTGTCCCAAGTCCTCCTCCTCTAGTCTCCTCTCAGAATTTTGGGTACACATGCACAGCAGGTCACCAGGTCCAGGACTCAAACCACATGGATAGCCCTGCAGGATCCAGCAGTCTTAACCAACCATGCCGCCAGCTGGCCTCTCTGACTTTCTTTAAAAACAGACATAAAAGGGCCAATGAGTAGCGTGCTGGTTGAGGTGTAAGATTCCCGAATGTGACTGACTGATCATGGTTCAATCCCAGCCCCTGTGGCTTGAAAATCACTGTGGCTATGTGTGCTCACATGTCCAAAATCCTAAGAGGAGAATGCAGGAGAAGGGATTGCAGCATGGCCTTCCCTACTGGGGAGTGATTTCTTACTTTCCCTCTCTCTGTCTCTCTTTGGCAAGTGCATGTGCTCTATGGCAAAAATCGAAAAAAAAAAAAAAAAGAAATGCAGGACTCATAGGAGTTGAAGAGCTTAGAACTTTAATGAGCTAGTTTAGTGTCAAAAGAAGACTTGGGGCCAGCAGGTGGTGCGGTGGTTAAAGGAACTGGACTCCCACATGGGTAACCACAGTTCGGGTCCGAGACTTGATGGCTTTCTTTCTCTCTCTCTCTGTCTCTCTGGTCAAATTAAAATAAATTGATTATTAATAAATAAAGTGAAATAAAATAATTTTAAAAAAAGACGACTTGAGTAAGTGGGAACATTGCTGTAAAGATGACAGTTCCAGGGCTGTCAGGTGGTATGGTGGTTAAAGGTGGCGAATTCCCACATGGCCAACCACAGTTTCAGTCCCAGACCTGGTAGCTTGCTTTCTTGCTTTCCCTTTCTCTCTCTCTGTCTCTGTCTGGTCAGATTAAAAAATAACAATAACAGATGTAATTAAATAAATAAATAATTCTTTTTTAAAAAACATGAAAGGGGACTAGCAGTTGGTAATGGCTATGTCGTTGGACTCCCATGTAGTCGACCACAGTTTGAGTCCCGTACCTGGTGGCTTAAACTCATGCTGGGCGTGTGTGCCTGCATGCCCAAGATCCCGAGAGGAGAATGGAGAAGAAGGGATTGCGGCATGGCCATCCACCCTGGGGGATAATTTCTCACTTTCTGTCACTCTGTCTGTCTCTTTCTGGTGAGCACACGCGCCCTGTAGCAAAAACCTCTCAAAAAAAAAAGAAAAAATGACAGTTCCCCTGTACCCTCCCTCCCCCTCAAGGGTGATTTATCACTTTCACTCTTTGTCTCTCTAGCAAGTAACAAAAAAAGAAAAAAACTGGTTTATTGAACATGACAGTTTATGAATGGACAAATATAGATGACCAAAAAAAGGGAAAATATTCTCAATATTAAGTGATAAAAATTAAAAATAATGATAGTAGAATTGTCAGTTATACTGAAAAAGTGGTACCTTCATGTTTCTAGGAAAATAAATTAATGCAATCATTCTGGAGGGGATTTTTGCAATATAAATAAAAATCCGTAAGAGTTTGTTTTACTCTTTGACCTAGAATTTCACCTTCTAGAAATAATTATATCCTGAGGAAATAATGAGTGTGTGTAAAAATGTATATATACTCCTTTTGTAATTTTACTTACAATAGTGTAACATTAGAAGTAACATTTCAGGGGGACCAGCAAGTGGTGTGGTGGTTAAGGTGCTGGACACTCCCACATTGCCAACTATGGCTCAAGTTCTGGACCTAGTGGCTTGCTTTCTCTCTCTCTGTCTCTGTGTCTCTCTCTGGTCAAATCAAATAACTAACCAACCAACCAACCAACCTTTTTAAAAAAAAGACCTAGGGTGACAATAGTGTCTAAAAGAAGTAACATTTCAGGGACTGGCCCCATAGCCTAGAGGTTAAAAGAGCCAGATCTTAAGAGGCCTGCTTTGCAGCTTGAATCCTGGACCTAAGGCATAAAAAGCAACACTGATCACATGTGCATGCATACCCCAAATTCTGATAAGACAGAAAAATGGAGGAGAAGGGATTGTGGTGTGTACATGCTCCATGGGAGGTACTTTTTCCTGCTCTGTCTGTCTCTGTGTCTTGTGAATGCATATACCCTCTGGCAAAACTTTCGTGAAAAAGAAGTAAGTGAAATAACTAGTTTGAAATTGGTCAGAGCTGGTATGGCACGTTAAAAAGTAATCTAGTGGGGCCAGCAGGTGGCATAGTAGTTAAAGGGACTAGACTCCCACATGGCCAACCCTGGTTTGAGTCCTGGTAGCTTGCTTTCTCATTTGCTCTCTTACTTTCCCGTTCTGTCCCTCTCTGGTCAAATTTAAATAGATAGATAGATAGATAGATAAAGTTAAATGAAATAATTCTTAAAAGAAAAAAAGTAATGTAGTAAAAATATACCAAAACTTGGGATGCTATTCACAGTATATTATTAATGTAGACTATATATTCGGTTATCAAAAAAGTCATGATGCATTTTTGCAAAAAAAAAAAAAAAACAAAAAAAAAAACCAAGGGAACCAGCAGTTAGCGTAATGGCTATGTCGCTGGACTCCCACATAGTTGACCGCGGTTCGCGTCCTGGACCTGGTGGCTTAAAACTCACGCCGGGCGCGTGTGCGTGTGTGCCCAAGATCCTGAGAGGAGAATGGAGGAGAAGGGATTGCGGTGTGACCATCCCCCCTGGGGGGTGATTTCTCGCTTTCTGTCTCTATGTCTGTCGCTCTAGCGAGCGCACGCGCCCTATAGTGAAAACCTCTCAAAAAAAAAAAAAAAAGTCATGACTTTTCCAACGACCCAATAGTGTATAGAGTATGAAATCCATTTGCTGAAAGATTGAGTCAGGCTACTTTCTAGGCACTTAGTACTACAAAATCGTAAATTACCAAGTGGTAGTCTTTTGAGTTGCTTAATTGTAGTTGAAACTAAAAATGTTAAACCTTTAACTATATGTATATGATAAAGAGTAGAAAGAATGTTTGTTGCAGTTATTTCTAGGTGAGGGGATGATGAATAATTTTTATTTTCTTATTTGGACTTCATAATTTTCTAGGATTTCTACAGTGAGTTTTTTAATAATTAGAAAACAGTATTTAAATAGGTAAGATACGTAATAGAAAAGCAAAGTCAGTAATGTCACATACCATAGAGGTTTAAATATGTCCATTGGCACTCATTAGGGGCTTTAGCAAAAGCAATTGGAATAGAGTAGGGCTGAAAGTAAAGAAGCTAGATTGTAGCGTATTAAGTAGTAAATGGAAGATAATGAGATAATGATTTCACTCTGTATCAGCATTCCTATAGAAATTAGTGCAAGGCACATATTAATAATATGTTTAACTTAGCTCAGTGTGCCAAAAAGATTTCATTTGAATATATAATTAATATAAATCATTAATAAAATATTTTATATTGTTTTAAAAAAATAAGTATTTAATTTAATTTATTTATTTAATTTTTAATTTGACTAGAGAGACAGAGCAAGAGGGTAAATGAGAAAGCAAGCTGCCAGGTTCAAGACTTGAGCTATAGTCCGCCATGTGGGAGTTCACTACCTTAACCACTGTACTACCTGTCAGCCCCTATATTCCTTTATATTATTTAATTTACAACTAAACTTACACAAGTCATATTTCAGCTACTCAGTGGCCACAACCAGTTAATGGCTACCATATTGCACAGGTAAAGTTTAAACTTTCCTGTTTGTTGATAATGTAATAACAAAGGGAGGCTGGATAGAGGGAACATGGAAGAATCCCCTAGTCCTTCACAATTCAGTACAACCACAGAACTCTGCCCAATGTAGCTTATTGCCTTTTTAAAAGTGAAATATTTGGAACCAGCGAGTGGCATAATGGTTACATTGCTGAACTCCCACATAGTCAACCATGGTTCAAGTCCCAGACCTGGCAACTTAAAACAGTCATGCGTGCATGTGTGCCCAAGATCCTGAAAGGAGAATGGAGAAGGAATTGTGGTGTGGCCATGCCCTGGGTTTTCCTCTCACTGTCTCTGTCTGTGTGTCTCTGGCGAGTGCATGCACCCTATAGCAAAAATCTCTTTAAAAAGAGAGACAGAGAGAAAGAGAGATTTTGCGTAATTTGAAGGCACATTACATAACAAAAAATAATGGTCCTATTTTCTACCCAGCTTGAGAAAGAGAATCCTGTGACCTTCCCACTTGCATTACTAAATTGATGATTTTCTTCTGTTTTTTCTTTTGTCTTTTGTTTTTTCTTTTTCCTCCTAAAGGTTTTGGTAAGACTAATCTGAGCCGCAGAGGAAGAGTAATGCCTGGAAAGAGACGTCCTTATGGAGTTATCACTGGCCTTGCAGCTAGGAAGGCAACTGGAATTCGAAAAGGAATTAGCCCTATGAATCGTCCACCTCTAAGTGACAAGGTAAAATAATGACTTAACCCTGGGTTGGATAACCTTTTCCTTTATTTGCACTAATACTTCTGCGAATGAGCTTGAAAGAACATTTTATTTTATTTTAATTTTTTATATACTGTAGGGCTTATATAAAAAATTTAATAAGCAAATACAAATGATGGCTTTATAAAAAGAATACCTAAATTTAGTATTTCAAGTATAAAATTGCTAGACAGGTTCCTGGCTTTACTCTTTCATTGAGTGTGTATGTGTACATACACTTTTTTAACAGTTTTATTCAAGTATAATTTTTATTCAAGTATAATGCATTTTTTTTTGCTACATGGTACATGTGCTCACAGACAAGAAATAGAAATAGAGAGAGGGAAAGTGAGAAGTCTCAACCCCTCCCTAAGGGGGATGGATGGCCATGTCGCAGTCCCTTCTCCATTCTTCTCTTGGGATTTTGGGCATGCATGTACATGTACCTGTTGTGATATTGAAGCCACTGGGTTGGGGACTTGAAACGCTGGGTCAGCTGTGTGGAATCGCCTTAACCTCCATGCCACCTGCTGGTCCTCAAGTATAATTTCTTTTTTTTTTTTTTTTTGGAGGGTTTTTGCTATAGGGCATGTGTACTTGCCAGAAATAATAGAGACAGAAAGCCGAGAAATCATCCCCCACGGGGGATGGCCACTCCGCAATCCCTTCTCCTCCATTCTCCTCTCGGGATCTTGGGTACGCATGCACACGCGCTTGGTGTGAGTTTTAAGCCACCGGGTCCAGGACGCGAACCATGGTCGACTATGTGGGAGTCCAGCGACATAGCCATTTCGCTAACTGCTGGTTCCCATCTCAAGTATAATTTCTTTACCATAAAATTTACTTACGTTAAGTATTTAATTCAGTAAATTTTAGTATGTTTAGAGTTGTACAATCTCCACAACAATTTTAACTTTAGAACATTCCTCTTATCTTAAAAAGATACCTCGTGGGGGAAACAGCAGTTGGCGTAATGGCTATTTTGCTGGACTCCCATGTAGTCGACTGAGGTTCGAGTCCCGGACCCAGTGGCTTAAACTCAACACATGGTACATGCGTGTGCCTGCCCAAGATTCCGAGAGGAGAATGGAATGGAGGAGAAGGGATTTTAGTGTGGCCATCCCCCCGAGGGGTGATTTCTTGCTTTCTGTCTCCCTCTCTATGGCAAGCACATGTGCCCTATAGCAAAAACCTCTCCAAAAAAAAGATACCTTACGGGACGAAGAGATATCTCATGGGGCCAGCAGATGGTGGGGTGGTTGTGTTTCTAGGCTCCCACATAGTTAACTACAGTTCTAGTCTCAGATCCGGCAGCTTAAAACTCAATGCCAGGCGTGTGTGCATGCATGCCCAAACTTTGAAGAGAACACAGGAGAAGGAATTGCGTATGGACATATCCCCCCCTTGGGGGGAAGTGATAATTTGTTTTCTGTCTCTGGCTCACTCTGGTGAGCGCGCACACCGTATAGCGAAAATCTCTCGCTCTCTTTTTTTTTTTTAAAGGTATCTTGAGCACAGAGCGAGTGCTGGGGAGGGTGGGGGAGGACATAGGGCGGCGGTGGCGACAGAGGGGGGGAAAAAAACAAGGTATCTTGGAGCCGGCAGGTGGCATAGTGGTTAAGGACACTGGACTCCCACATTTTCTACCGCAGTTCGAGTCCTGGATCTGGCAGCTTCTTTTTCACTCACTCTTTCTTTCTCACTCTGTCCCTCTTGGTCAAATTAAAATAAATTAATAAAGTTAAATTAAAATAATTTTTAAAAAATAATTATTTATTTAATTCACATTTGTTATTGTTTTTTTTTTTTTGACCATCAGAGAGAGAGAGAGAGAGAAAGGGAAAGCAAGGAATCAAGCCACCAGGTCCAGGACTTGAACCATGGTCGACCATGTGGGAATCCAGTGCCCTTATCCACCACACAGGCTGCTGGCCCCTAAATAAAATAATTCTTTAAAAAAAAAAAGTATCTCATGCCCTTTCACAGTCATGCCCCATACAACACTAATCAGCTGTTTGTAGACTTTCTGTTCATTTGCCTTTTCTGTATATTTTATATAAATGGGATCATACAATAATATGTGATTTGCCATTTAGTCAGTTTTCGGTTTTGTTTGTTTAGATTTTTTTTGCTATATAGCATGTGCATCCACCTAAGAGAGACAGACAAAAGGAGGGAAGTGAGAAATCACTTAGGAGGGGTGACCGTGTCTCACTTCTTTCTGTATTCTCCTCTCAGGATTTCGGGCACATGTGCCCGGTGTGATTTTCAAGCCACTGGGTCTGAGACTCAGCCTGTGGTTGGCCATGTGGAATCCAGCACCTTAACCATCATGGCACCTGCTGGCCCCTTATGTTATAGCATATGTTAATATTTCATTCCTTTCTATTGTTGAGTAATACTCTATTTTATGGATGTAAAATATTTTGTTTATTGATTTACCAGTTGATGGACAGTTTGGTTATTTTCATTTTTGTGGTATTTTGAATAGTAATGCTATGAACATTCCACTGACAAGTTTGTATGGATATAGGCTTTTATTACTTTTGAGTAGATACCAATCCCCTAATTGATATTTTAAATTAGAGTTTCATTTATTTACCACCATAACTTAACTACTATTCAACTCTTTACTGTAGTTTTTGAATTGGGTAAAGGATTCCTTGAAACAGTTTCACAAATGGTTTTTCTTCTGTTGCCTTATGTATAATAGGTCTGAGTCATCAAGGAATTTAATATTCTGTTCTTTCATTTTTAATCTCTTTGGTTTCTCTAATTATGAAAGTAGTACTTATTAGTAGAAAAATGCAGGATGTTCATTCCTTTAAACTTGCAAATTCTGGCTAGACTCACATTACTTAGATTCCCTTGACTGTTCAGTTCTGTCACCACCAAGAGCTGCTCTCCTCCAAAACCTTATCACAGAAGTTCCTGTTTAATTAGGGATTAGAAAACATCAGTGTGATGTGGATGCCGGAAGGGGAGGTTGGATTTAACCACTAACTAATGAGTTGGATCCTGTAAAAATTGTAAATTACCACAGTAGTAGCCTTTTGTTCGAAAAGAGCTAAAATTGTATGAAATCCAAAGAATGTACTGAATAGTAAGATCTAATTTATTCAAACTTTCTAAGTTTGATGATTTTGGCAAAGATATGGCTTAAAATTTGCTGTTTCTTAAAAACTTTTTCTTCAACCTGAATACAGTTTGTTCATTTATTTTTAAAGAATTACTGTGTTTAACTTTATTTACTTATTTTGCTTATTTTTTAATTTGACCAGAGAGACAGAGTGAGAGTGAGTGAGAGAGAGAGAGAGAGAGGAAAAGATAGAAAGTGACCGCCAGGTCTGAGATTCAAACCACAGTTGGCCATGTGGGAGTCCAGCACCTTTAACCACCACACCACCTGCCGGCCCCTATTTATTTATTTATTTTAAAGAGAGATTTATTCTATAGGACTCTTGCTCGCCAAACAGAGAGAAACAGAGACAGAAAGTGAGAAATCACCCCCCAGGGGGGATGGCCACGCCACAATCCTTTCTCTTCCATTCTCCTCTAGGGATCATCTTGGGCATGCACGCACACGTGCCCAGCATGAATTTAAGCCACCAGGTCTGGGACTCAAACCATGGTCAACTGTGTGGGAGTCCAGTGAAGTAACCATTATGCCATTTGCCAGCTCCTTGAATACAGTATTAATAGTTTGAGTAGGATAGATGATAATACTTGTGAAACAGATTTGTTTCCAGCAATTTAGAAAATTTCTATTTACATGTGAGGAACTTATATTATTCTTTTGAATTCATTAAAGCAAGCTTCCTTAAATAACTTAATTGGCCTTGAGTTGCTATATATATTTAGAAACATTTCACTAAAATAAAAGACTGGGCCCAGCCATGGTAGTATGCACTATATGATGCTCCAACTTGGGAAGTTGAGGCCACATAGGATGCCTGGATTCAATTCTCTGCACACTTTAAAAACTGTGCTGTAGCTTATTCTTACAATCCTAGCTACTGGGGAGACTGAGACAGGAGAATTCTGATGTAGAACTTTAATTCTTAAAAATCTGAATTAGGCTTCAGTGATAGTTTAAATTTATATGTGTAGAAGAAAAAGTGGGCATTTCACATGTGTGTATGTTCTCTATGATTGAATTTTCCTTTTTCTCCCAACCATTTGCATTTCAGCTTCTTTGCTGTCACTACCTCCCCTTCTTTCTTTTCACACATTTGTTTTCAAACTTGGACTTCTTTTCCCTGAACTTAATGTCAAAAATTATGTAACCTGGGACCAGCAGTTAGCATAATGGCTATGTTGCTGAACTCTCATGTAGCCAGCTGCGGCCCGAGTCCTGGACCTGGTGGCTTAAAACTCATGCCGGGCATGTGTGCGTGCGTGCCCAAGATCCTGAGAGGAGAATGGAGGAAAAGGGATTGCAGCATGGCCATCCTCCCTGGGGGGAGGGGTGATTTCTCGCTTTCTATTTCTCTGTCTCTGTCTGTCTTTCTGGTGAGCACATGCGCCCTATAGCAAAAACCTCTCCAGAAAAAAAAAAAAAATTATGTAACCCATTCCCTAAGTTTATCTCTAATTCTTTGATTCTTTTCTTGAGTTCCCAAGCCATGTTTCTTCATCACATATGCATCCCCAGGACACCCTCAAGTATTTTAAGTATAATGTGATTGTCATTTTTTCAATCATTTAGACTGGAAATTTTGAGGTTGTTTCAGTTTCTCTGTTCCCTCATTCACACATCCAAGTAGTTGTCTATTCTTACCTATTCTGCATCAGAAATGTTTATTATAGTAGGGTATACAGCAAAAGGCGATCTGATTAATATGATTTTTTTTGCCTTCTGAAAGAATATAGAACGATATTTTCCAGTGTTAAAAAGGAAGGCAAATCTTCTGAGACAAAATGAAGTGCAGAGGAAGCCAATTGCAGTTCTCAAGAGACCTAACCAGTTAAATAGAAAGTAAGTAACCATGTTGTCTTCCATAAATAAGCAATTCTTCTACTAGGTGTTTAGAGGAATGAATTTTCAGTGATTCTTCTACTTATCTGGTTATTTTTTAGGAGAGATATTTAAGGTATCTGTCTGAACATCCAGCATGGAAATAGTAATAGTTTCTTTTAGACTCAGTGTTATTGATGAATTTAAATACTATAAACTTTTTAAAAAACATTGCTGCTGCTTTACTGCTCTTGTTATAAAGTTCCAAATGCTAATCATTTGGTAAAAAAAATTCTAATAAAACAGTCAGAATTACTCAAAGTTGGGAATTCTGAAAGTAGAGTTTGTTGTTCAGTCTCAATAGCTCTTATTAGAACTCTTGAGTCACAATGTATGTTATATATGGAAAAAGGTAACCAGAAAGAAAATTCCATAGGAATGCTTCTTAAACTGAAATTATTCTTATACTAAGTTGAAAGATACAATAAAACTTTAAAATTATGATCTGTTAATCGCATTTTATTTTCTATAAGGATAAAGTAGATAGAAAGGAAGTTGATAATCTGAGAAAGTTCCTTATTTCAGTTTCAGTTACCATTTATTTATCTGTTGTAAAAGATCTTTTATAATAAAACAAGTCCAGGAATGAGGTCTTTTAATTAATGAAAAGCTAAAAGTGCAGTTTATTTAACCATTATCTTTTGGGAATTATTTGGTAGTATCTTTTATGAAGAGGACCTTCTCAAATAAGAACCTGTCTTTTACATAAAACTAAGGAAGGAGGGACTGCCAGGTGGTGTGGTGGTTAAAGGCAGTGGGCTCCCACAAGGCTGACCACAGTTTGAATCCTGGACCTGGCAACTTGCTTTCTCGCTTTCCCTTTCTCTCTCTCTCTCTCTGGTCACATTAAAAAATAAGAAGAAAAAAATTAAATTAAATAAATAATTCCTTAAAAAAAAAAAACTAAGGAAGGAAATTTTGCATTTGGCTCTCTGTAAGAACGGGGGTAAGATTAGTCACTTTTTTTTTGTTTCTGTTTTGCTATAGGGCATGTGCACTTGCTGCGGGCAAGGGGGAAAGAGAAAGAAAAATCACCCTATGGGAGTTGCCCATGCCATAATTTCTTTATTCTCCTCTTGAGATTTTAGACATGCATACACATGTGCCCAGCATGTTTTTCAAGCTGCCGAGTCTGGAACTCTAACCTTTCGATCAGCCATGTGAGATCCAGCTACCTTAACCTCCATGCTACCTGCTCGTATACAGGTACTTGTATATAGAATAGATAAATATTAAGTTTTGTAGAAAACAGAAGTTTGTAAAAGTTTAGTCAAGCATAATTTATTAAGGATGTATTGCTTGAGACCAGAAGATGGCACAGTGGTTACATCACTGGACTCCCACGTAGTGGATCTTGGTTCCATACCTGGACCCAGTGGCTTAAAACTTATGCCAGGCATGTGTGTATGTGTGCCCAAAATCCCAAGAGGAGAATGGAGGAGAAGGGATTGCAGTATGGCCATCACCCTGGGAGGTGATTTCTCGCTTTCTGTCTCTGTCTCTTCAGTGAGTACATGCACCCTATAGCAAAAATCTTTCTCTTAAAAAAAAAGTATTGTTTGGGGCCAACAGGTAGCATTGTGGTTGAGGTACTGGACTGTCCCATATGGCAGATCATGATTCAAGCCCGGATCCAGCGGCCCAAAAATCACTACTGACAAATAGATAAATAAATAAATAATGGTTGAAAAAAGAATGCATTGCTCTGAGCCTAGCCACAGTGGCACGCACTGTTAAGATACTGTGCTCAGCCAGCTCAGACCACATGGGAGGCCCACATTTTTTTTTTTTTTCTGTCCCAACCTAATAGCTAGAGGGGTGGTGTGAACCTATAATCCCAGTGATTTAGGGAGGTTGAGGCAGAAGGATAATGAGGTTGACTATTTTTTTCTCAATATGTTTGAAAGTAGTAGGTAAGTAGCCCAGAGTATTCATAATATGTGTGTTTTTGTTGCAGAAATAACATTCCAGCTAATTTTTCCAGAAATGGAAATAAGTTAAGTCATCAGAAAGACACTCGTCAGGCAACTTTTCTTTTCAGAAGAGGTCTGAAGGTATTAAAAAAAAAAAATTTTTGTTTTGTTTTATCCAAAGAGGATTCTGAGTAGCCTCCACTAGTAATCCTTGATCATAGGCATGGCCCATGGTTGAGGTAAGGATGGGTTTGGGATGTAGAGAACATGACATTAGATTAGTTCTCTCTGTTACATTTTTCCTATTCTCTGTCTTTTATTGTCTTCAATAGCAACATCTTATAAGAATTCAACATGTTATTTAGTAATAAACTTGTATTTGCCACTTGTTCTAATATAGGCACCCAAACAGAGGTGTCAGAGTAGTATAGGCCCCTCTCCTTTATGTGTACTCCGCACTGGGTTATAAAGTTACCGAGCAGGGTAGCTCTCTGGATTCAAATCCTCTGCTTTCTATGGGATCTACTGCTTTTTTTTTCCCTTCAGGTTCAGGCCCAGTTGAACACAGAACAACTACTAGACGATGTAGTAGCAAAGAGAACTCGTCAGTAAGTTTCAATTTGTTTTTCAAGATGTCATTTCAAAACTCCCAGAATACTAAATACCTAAATTACCATGTATCTCATTTGGAAACAAACTGAATTACACCTAAAATAAAATCGAACCTGAAATAAATAAAGCCTGTTTTTTTGTTGTTGTTGTTTTCTCCCCAGAAGATAAGTTTTAAGTTTTCACATATCTTTGCTGTAATATTTTTAGCACCATATAAATGATTGTTATTTCTATTTTTTACTTTACCTATTTGTTTCATTTTAATGAAACAGCTTTTTTCTTTTTCTTTTCTTTTTTTTTTTTTTTGGTGATAACTGCTTTTATACAAATGAACCTATTCAGGGAATGAATACAGGAAGTCCAATAGAGCTTTAACAATTTTTTTAAGACTTGAAAAATAGAGTGTTTTTCCTTTTCATATAGTCTTTTTTTTTAACTTCACCCCTATAAAAGTCTGTTAAAAATCTGTTTTTGTCTGTTATGACTATACTTCCCAAGTGTTATAATATTCTAACTTCATCAATGATCAAGTTTTGAGATTAGACTACTTAAAATTATGGCTCCTTTTTTGGAAAACAAAGCATGTAAAACATGATAATGGTCCTGATATGGTATGAACAACAGTGAGGCATGATTTTGAGCAAATGAGTGTGAGAAAGGAAGCTGAACCTGATGCTGGCAGTATTATTTAACATGGAGGTTATGACACTGGAAACCATAAAGAAGTAAATACCAGTTGTACCCTATTTTCTTCTATACTGAGCAGTGTTTGTATAACCATGATAACATAAATACTGTGTGATTGTTTTTAAATTGGAGAATCAACCTATCAACAAAACACATAAAACAGTTCATTTGAGAACAGAATATAAATGTCATATTTTGACTAACATAAACATAATGTACTCTAACAAAAAATGGGAGGTATAGAGTAGGAGAGGCGGAAGGAAGGAATAGAGAAACCGTTATCCTTTGATGTGACGTGCATGGGGACATATCTGCAAATACTACTAAAATACTTTTAAGTATTTAAGTTGTCAGTGGAAGTAAAATAGTGGTATAGCCATCAAAAATATCTAGAGGTAGATAGAAAAAACTGGAGGATAGTGTGGTGAACTAAATTCTTATTCATCATAGCAAGATTTACTACATGAGCCTCTGTTTAGTGAATTCTAAGTAACCAGCGAGCAGTAAAAACAGGAAAGATTAAAAGTGCTGCATTTTGAGACTAGGATTGGAGACAAAGAATGGAGTCAGGGACTATGGCTTTTTATTAAAAGCCCTTCTGTACTATTTGATTATTTTGAAATGTCCCTATATTAATGATTTTAAAAATTATTTAATAAATTCAGCTGCTTAGTTCCTGTGCTCAGCATGCCAATTCATTATATATTGATGGGGTCCGGGTATCTATTTCTTAAAAGCGAAGAAAAAGTAATGACTACTTTTAAAAATGTCTGTGTTTTTGAGGGCGTCTTCAGTGTTTTTTTTTTCAAACTTTCATGTTAATGACTTTTTTTTTTTAAATAGATGGCGTACTTCTACCACAACTGGAGGGATTTTGACTGTATCCAATTAAAAGTGCTGCATTTTGAGACTAGGATTGGAGACAAAGAATGGAGTCAGGGACTATGGCTTTTTATTAAAAGCCCTTCTGTACTATTTGATTATTTTGAAATGTCCCTATATTAATGATTTTAAAAATTATTTAATAAATTCAGCTGCTTAGTTCCTGTGCTCAGCATGCCAATTCATTATATATTGATGGGGTCCGGGTATCTATTTCTTAAAAGCGAAGAAAAAGTAATGACTACTTTTAAAAATGTCTGTGTTTTTGAGGGCGTCTTCAGTGTTTTTTTTTTCAAACTTTCATGTTAATGACTTTTTTTTTTTAAATAGATGGCGTACTTCTACCACAACTGGAGGGATTTTGACTGTATCCATTGATAATCCTGGAGCATTGCAATGTCCGGTGTAAGTCTTACTGAAAAAAGTTTACAATCTTTCAGTAGATGAGATAATGAAAAAGTATTGCATGTCTACTTTGAATTAGAATAGAGATACAAGGAATAAAAATAATACTTCGTATACAAAATGGAAATAGTACGGCATAAAGTTAAAAATAAAAAAAAAGTTCTCTTGGTATTTCTGGTTCTATATCCCCAAATAATCACATGTAACAATTTCCTCTATATTTTTCTTTTTTAAAATTCTGTGCATTTGTAACAAATAAATTGTAATGTGTACATGATAAATGAAATTCTATACCTACTTAGTACTTTCTTCTCTTTCTCCTAGTATATTAAGGATATTACTTTTTCTTTACCATGTAGATCTTTACTTTCTTACTATATAAATGTACCTTCTCTTTAAAGCCTTCATAGTATATTCTTTAAATTAGCTTAATTTAACTATTTCTTTTTATATATTGCATTTTAATCTTTTTTTAGATTTATGGACTTTCTGATCTAACCATCTTAATGATTGAAATTAGAAAGATGTAGAATGAATCTTAGACTTTAGAGGTTGCTTTTTCTTTAGTAGAAGATCAGGATTGGAAATCATCCATCTTTGCAAATAGTTGGGAATTTTAGTCTCATGGGTAGAGACATACTTTTTTTTGAGAACATGAAAAGTGATAATACATTTTAACATGGACAAATCAGCATGTCTTAAGTATAAAATGATTTTTTATTCTCCTTTTAATCATTAAAGTGGTCTTATATTTCAATTTTTTCAACAGAACTCAGAAACCACGATTAACTCGTACTGCTGTACCCTCATTCTTAACAAAACGGGAGCAGTCTGATACAAAGAAAGTTCCTAAAGGTGTCCCCCTACAATTTGATATCAACAGTGTTGGAAAACAGGTAAAAAAAAGAGTTTGCTGTATTTCTTTGAGCCATTCACTGTGAATAATTAAACAATTACTGTATAGTGAATTAAACAGGATGTCATAATCCTCTTTTCCTCTCAAACCTAGGCAACCCTAATCTATATTTCTGGGGCTTTCTTGTTTTTGTTTTTGTTTTTTAAAGAGAATTATTTATTTATTCATTCATTTATTTTAATTTGACCAGAGAGAGCCACACAGAGGGAAAGTGAGAAAGCAAGCCACCAGGTGCAGGACTTGAACCACGGTCGGCCATGTGGGAGTCCAGCACCTCAGCCACCATGCCACCTGCTGATCCTTATATTTCTGTTTTCATAGATTTGCCTATTTTGACATTTCATGTAATTTGTATCATATGCTTTGTAATTTCCTTTCCTTTCCTTTTTTTTTTTTTTTTTTAATAAGGATTTAGCCATAGAGTGGCTGTGCTTACCAGAGAGAGACAGAGAGAGGGAAAGCAAATCATCCCCCAGGGGAGATGGCCATGCCAGTCCTTTCTTTTCTGCCTTCCTGGAATTTTGGGTACACATGCACATGTGCTTAGAGTGATTCTCAACTACCAAGTCTAGGACTCAAACCAGCAACATAACCATTATGCCATCTACTGGTTCCAGCTGTCAGTTTTTCAAAGAAGTAGCTATACTGTTTGACATTCCCCCCAGCATGTATGAGAATTCTGTGTTTCTCCATGTCTTCACCAACTTTTTGCTATTATTATTAGCACTTTTGGTTATTATGTTACTTGACTATAGCCATTTGAGTGGGTAGTTATCTCACTGTATTGACAATTTTTGTATTAACTCTCTTGTGATCTTACTAAAATTACTTATTTTGTAGTCAGTTTGTAGATTCTTAGGATTTTCTTCTTTTTATTTTTTTTCATTTTGCCAGAAGGCGCTGTTCTGGTTGGAATGAGATGAGAGGAAAAGCAGGGAAGCACCCCTCATGGGGAATGGTCACGTTGCAGTCTCTTGTCTTTCATTTCTCCCTACTTTAGGGTTTTTGGGCATACATGCACATACGTCTGGCGTGTTTTTCAAGCTGCTGTATCTGGGACTCAGACCATGGTTTTGGCAATGTGCGATCCAGCCACTTTAACCACCAGGCCCCAGGCTAGCTCAGTTCTTAGGATCTGTCATGTCATTCTCTAAATTTATTTCTAATTTTAAACCATTTCTTGTTTTACTGTAGTGATTAGAACCTCCAGGACAGTGTTGAATAGAAGTGGTGTGAGCATGTATGGTTACCTTGTTCCAAAGCCTGAGGAGAAGGCATTAACTGTTTGATCATGTCAGCTGTAGGTTTTTCATAGATTCCCTTTATTAGAATAAGGGATCTTATTTGTACTCCTAATTTGCTAAGGATTTTTATTTTGAAAAATGGGTATTAGATTTCATCAAGTAACTTTTTTGATGTACATTGAATTAAGATTGGATTTGAAAACGGGCAGTTTGGACAAAAATTTGACTGAATTTAGTCTGCCTCTTTTTTTTCTTTAGTTTTTGTTATAGGGCACTGTCTTCAGGGGAGACAAAGAGGGAGAAAGAACAAGAAGGGGTGAAATGAGAAGTCACCCCCAGGGGCGTTGGCCACACTGCAGTCCCTTGTCTTACATTCTCTTTTTGGGCACACATGCACATGTTCCTGGCATGTTTTTCAAGCCTCCAGGTCTGGAACTCGAAACGTCCAGTTGCCTATGTCAGAGCCAGTCCTCTTAATCACCATGCCATTGACTGCCCCTATTTTATTTAACTTTATTTATTTAAATTTGACCAGGGAGAGACAGAGTGAGCTAGGTGAGAGAGAGTGAGAAAGCAAGCTGCCAGGTCCGGGACTTGAACCGCGGTCAGCCATGTGGGAGTCCAGCGTCCTTAACCACCACACCACTGGCCGGCCCCAACCCCTATTTTGCTTTTAAAAAATTTATTTTGTCACTGTTGTTACTTCGCTTTCAGAAACAGTGAAATATAGTTTGAAAGTGCTTTCTTTTAGTTGCTAATCAAAACAAAATTTCTTTCTCTTTTTTATTTTAACTTTATTTATTATTATTATTATTATTATTATTATTATTGTCCAGTTTGACCAGAGAGAAACAGAGAGAGAGAATCCAGAAAGGAAGCCACCAGGCCCAGGACTTTAACCACAGTTGGCCATATGGGAGTCCAGTGCCCTTAAACACCATGCCACCTGCCAGCCCCTCTAAAACAAAATTTTCATTTGAATTTTTGTTGTAAACTCACAGAAATTTAAGAAAATTTATTTTAAAATATTCACAAGTTTAGATAAGTGTTCAACTTACCAGAGGTATCACTAGATTTGGTATGACAGTGTTTATAGACCATGAAGATAATTCATAGAGATATTTTCGAGTATATGACTTGTAAGCATCTTAGTAAATGTATGTTTTATATAGTGTATAATATAGGCATTATATGGTTAAAAGACCAAGGAATATGAATTATACTTCCCAGTTTAAATTCTGGAGTTTTTACTTCTCAAGTTTTCCCAAGCGTGTTTAACTTCACTTATTTTATATGGCTGCTATTAGGATTGAATGAAGTCCAGTCATGGATAGGCCCAATATACAGGCCCAGCCATGTTTTTTTTTTTTTTTTTGAGAGGTTTTTGCTATAGGGCGTGTGCGCTTGCCATACAGACAGAGACAGAGAGACAGAAAGCGAGAAATCACCCCCCCAGAGGGGGATGGCCACGCCACAATCCCTTCTCCTCCATTCTCCTCTTGGGATTTTGGGCACACACGCACACATGCCCAGCGTGAGTTTTAAGCCACCGGGTCCGGGACACGAACCACAGTCGACTACATAGGAGTCCAGCGACATAACCATCACGCTAACTGCTGGTCCCCCCAGTCGTGTTTTTCACTGGATGCTGCCACTCTATGACTGAGACCACATGGAAGGCCCAGATTCAAATCTTAGCTTACACTGAAAAGCCGGGTGCAGTGGCACACACTTGTAATCTCAGTTACTCACAAGGCTGAGGAGGAGGATCTTGACAGAGCTAGACCCTGTCTAAATCAGCCCTCCCAACACACAAATGAGGTTGTACACATAAATACTCAGTTATTACTGTTAATTGCTATTGATTAATTACATTGTTCCAAAGCAAATGATGACTTTTAATTGAGTTAATCTTTTTTCTCTTTTCTCTAGACAGGGATGACTTTGAATGAACGATTTGGGATCCTGAAAGAACAAAGAGCTACTCTCACGTTCAACAAAGGAGGAAGTCGTTTTGTAACAGTGGGATAGATCTCATCCATGTCAGAAGGACTTTTGATTGATGACTGTGAAAAGTTGAATTGCTTGAAGAGTTCATCACATAAATTCAAGAAACTTCAAAATATTCACAAGCCTAAATAACTCTTTATTTTTATTTTTGAAAATTTTTTTTAAACATCTGTTTAAAAAAAAAAAAAACCAAACAAACAAACAAAAAAATAACACCCTAAAGAATAACAGGGAATATACCTATCTGTTCTTAAAGATTTCTTGGTTGGTCCAGACAAAACAGTTCTGTATTTGACTTCTTTGCTTCCTCATGCAGCAGAAAGGCAGAAAGATAGAAATGGGTTATTTTTATGATAGAGGTATTTAGGATCTCATTGCCTTTGCCCATTTTTAAGACATTGTCTTGGTAAATCTTGATCTTCAGAAATG